TGTAGAACACAGTAGTAATGGGAAGTAGTTTGTGCAAGCTGTGTAGTACAAAGTAGTACTGGGAAGTGCTTTGTGCAAGCTTTGTAGAACAAAGTAGTACTGGAACGTGGATTGGGCAAGCTTTGTAGTACAAAGTAGTACTGGGAAGTACTTTGTGCAAGGTTTGTAGTACAAAGTAGTAGTGGGAAGGACTTTGTGCAAGCTTTGTAGTACAAAGTAGTACTGGGAAGTAGTTTCTGCAAGCTTTGTAGTACACAGTAGTACTGGGAAGTGCTTTGTGCAAGCATTGTAGTACAAAGTAGTACTGGGAAGTAGTTTCTGCAAGCTTTGTAGAACACAGTGGTAATGGGAAGTAGTTTGTGCAAGCTGTGTAGTACAAAGTAGTACTGGGAAGTGCTTTGTGCAAGCTTTGCAATACAAAGTAGTACTGGGAACGACTTTGTGCAAGCTTTGTAGTACAAAGTGGTACTGGGAACGACTTTGTGCAAGCTTTGTAGTACAAAGTAGTTTGGAACGACTTTGTGCAAGCTTTGTGGTACAAAGTAGTACTGGGAAGTGCTTGTGCAAGCTTTGTAGTACAAAGTAGTACTGGGGCGTCTTACACTTTACACTCTACACTCCACGCTCCACACTCTACACTTTACACACTCTACACTCCCCACTCCACACTTTGCACTCCACACTCCTTACTTTACACTCCACACTCCACACTCTACACTTTCGACTCCACACTCCACACTCTACACTTTCCACTCCACACTGCAAACTGGTAACAGGGGGAAAAATGTACTGTCTTCAAGCGATGTTTTCCATGCGTGTCTTTGTGCGTTAGTTGTCTCTTTGTGAACTGTTGATCAGATGCCTTCGCTGAGACGATATGCGCGCACGATGCATGGAAAAAAGATTCGTTTTCCTATTGCAGAGGTTTTCACTCGCCGAAGGAAGTTTAGAAGTCAAACTTCCGACAATATGGACAGATGAAAAGCAGAGATGGGAAGAGTCAGAGAAGAGAAGAGAAGAGAAGAAGAAAGAATACCAAAAAGACACTACACTACATTACACTACACTACGCTGCATTCCACTACACTAGGCTACACTACACTAACTACAACTACAACTACAACTACAACTTCAACTATACTACATTACACTACGCTACACTACGCTACACTAATTACACCACACTACAGTACACTACACTTCACTACACTACACTACAGTGAATGACACTACACTACGCCTACAGCTACAACTGCAACTACAGCTGCAACTAAACTACATTACATTACACTGCACTAATTACATTACACGAAACTACACTACATTAGACTAACTACAGCTACAACTACATAAGACTTTGCTACACTACACTACACTACACTAATTACATTACACTACACTACGCTACACCCCACTCCACTACACTACACTACACCTCACTACACTACACTCCACTACAGTACACTACAGTAAATTACAGTACACTCCACTACACCACACACTACACTACACTAACTACAATTACAACTACAACTACATCTACAACCACAATACATTACAGAACACTACGCTACACTACAACTACAACTGCACTAGACTTTTTGCATTGCACTGCGCTACGCTACACTACACTACACACTACACTACACTACGCTACGCTACGCTACACTACACCACACTACACTACACCACACTACACCACACCACACCACACTACACTCCAATTACACTACACTACCCTACCCTACAGTACAATACATTACATTACATTACACTACACTCATTGCACCACCACAATTGCAACTGCAACTACACTAAACTAATTACACCACACCACAACTACAGCTCCACTACAACTACAACTACAGCTGCACTACACCACACTACATGCAGCAGTTGTGGGTGAGGTGACCGACCAGGTGACCACTGCAACCATTGCAACCACTCCAAAAAACACAGCTCCAACCACCTTTCGGTCCATCAGTGGATTGGCTCTGCCATCCGTGATTCACAACAACCAATCTCTCCTATAGGTTTCCTATTTTTGAAACTTTCGCCACCGCCTTGTGCGGTACTACTGGTAGTCCAAGAACGTGAATACATTCTGGTTCGTGGCTTCCATCTTGTTTTTCGGTCAACATGCAGTTGATCTTCAACAGGTTGATACACTTCCAGCCAAAAACATTGAGAATCCGATTGAAAATGTAGAGGTGCTGTGCGTATTCTTTGCTGAATTTGGCCAAAGAAATGCGAACTTTTTTTAAAGCAGGATATGTGCCCTTCGGATACGGATACGGATGTGTCTGAAATTACCGCAAATGAGGCGCCCTTGATGTCAACTAAAACGAAGCCTGTAATGATCAGCTCTTACAAGGTTCGTTCAAAAAAAAAGAAAAAGTGCGGAATACCCGCCGCATTTGAATGCTGGCGCGCGGGTTAAAAAAACCGGCGACCACCCTGGCGCCCGGTGATGGTCAGGCACGTCATGCTGCTGCCAAAGTTGAAAGCAGCCAAGGCTGCTGCAGCCGGCATCGAGGGTTGACAGTGTGATGTGACGATACCCAGTTGCTTGAAGCATGACTTCCCTTTTCAAAATGACTATAACTATCACAGCTCCCTTCTAGCAAGGTTTCTTTCTATAGGATGTGGCGACATGCCAGCTGTGTAATGATGCTTCGTGCGTGTTTGGATATGTCATGTTTTTTCTTTGGAGCGTCTCTTGGCTGAGGTAAAGTCTTACAAGATTACAAGCACGTTGTGATTGCGGATCTGTAAAGTGAATTGGCGGTTGTTGCTGCGAGCCTTCTACTGAGAATATTAAGCAGCTTTGGGTCGTTATTTCCTGTCGCTTGTCGTAGCTCAAAAGCCGATAGCCCTATACACAGCTTCTTCTTGTGGACTAGGTAGCGACGATAAATTTCATGGGGCCCTGGCATCGTTCTTGCCAAGTGCAAGCATGTTGCGATTGTGGTGTTAGCGAGTTGACAGGTCTTGCCCATATGTCAAAAATGGCAAGCTGTCATTGGTAATGTGAAACCAGGGTGAAGCTTACCAAAAAATGCGGACAAGTTTAAATTTAATTGTGGGAAAATTGTTACGGAACTGTGGTGAGCTGCTTGTTGTGATGACGCACCATTACCCCTCGGCGACGCTCGCCTTGGTGCGCTTGTTCTTTGTTGTTGTGTCGCTATATGTAGTATTCAGGTTTGCGTTGTTTGGATAGGTAAAATTTCGCTATGGCAACTGAAACACCGGTACAAAAAATAGTTTCTGCTGTTGGCTCTGCTGTCTGTCTGTGTGATCAATTAGCAGGGTGTCAGTACTAAAAACATGGGCGCTTGCCCATGAGAAAGGGCACACTGAGTTCACCGATAAGGTTCAATACATACATTTGTGCGTGGCACACACGCGTTCATGTTTTTTTCCTTGCTTCAGAATGTTGCCCGCCACCAGCCAAAGGCGCTGGTGGCTAGGATCGAGAGCCACCAATGGTGCGGTGAGCTGCACCTTGGCCACTTCGAGCGCGCATTCTGCTTGTCAAAGTGTTGTGTTGTGCCTTTTTTCCCCTGGTCAGGACGGCAAGCTATTTTTATGGCTTGCCTTCGACGAGGACCGTCCGCGATTTGTTTTTTTTGGTGTGTGTTTGCTTGCGCTCTTTTTTTTCTCCTAAAAAGCAGGTGCCGATGGTGACCCCCCAGGATTGGCTCAAGGGAACAAAGTGGGACGGCATGGAATGCCGCGAACTATATCTAAATATCTAAAACATGGGTCAGAAGATGGATGCCATACACTATGTTTTTTTGGACCATGTAAGCCCACTAAAAGGTAGACCAGCTACGTGCAGGGGAGCAACAAACACCAAGTCGTGAGATGACATCATCCCATGTGATACCTGGATGGTATTGAAAAATGTGCCAAGGTTTGTTGTAGATGTTTTTTTTACGAAAATTTGAAAATTTAACATAGCCATGGAGAATGGCCCATTTGTAGTTTATTTACCTAATTATTCAACATGGTGATTTTCCATAGATATGTGAGCTTATTGGAGGGCAAGAATTTGAACAGATTTTGTTGGAATGACGGCCCTATCTATCACTTACTGGCCCTCCAATCCGCTTGTACGTTGACAGCGGTCCCGAACTTGCCTGGCTTCCCTTTCTGCATATCCCAAGGTGTCCGAGAGGATCCACAACTTGACTACTCAACGTTGTACTCAAAACAAGACCCAAACAAATTTGAACAGGGCATGCCATGAACCACCAAAGTACTGACATGTGCAATGGTTGCCGCATTACTGAAGAATGTCAAAGAGGCTCCTGTTTCCAATTCCAAAGTGGGGACAGAGATAATCCATGTTTCCCAGGAAATTCATGCGGAGTTTCCTAAATTAAGGAATCCCGAATATGGGTTTAATATTCAAATGATCATGACTTGGATGATTGGGGATACCCCCTTGACAAAACACCCATATGTGAATGGAAGAAACTTGCGGTGGCAGGCTTGTCGGGGTTGATTCATCAAACTTAGCAAGCATGGCAACAAGGAACTGAATAAATGCCATCACCCAGGACAGGGAACGCAAAGTTCATCAATGTCATTCTCCCAGTCTTTTCCCAGTCATGACCCAAGTTGAACCCTTAGGTACCAACTTGTCGGAGCTGACTTGGGTCATTCTCCCAGTGAATGACGTGACTTTAGGGATCGGAATTAACTCAAGCAAGTCATGTAAAGTCCCATGAAATCGCCAATGATATCCCTACGAAAGACTCCTAAAGGCCCTATGAAACGCCCATTGAAACCCCACTTCCATTATAATCCCAACCCCACATGAAGTCCTTCATGAAATCCCAGCAGCTCAACACCGAAAACTCGTTCAGCAGCCATGAAAAACACCATGGGTGTTAAAACCAATGGCTGAAACCATGGTTTAACCAATGGGTTTTTAAACACAAATTAGACCATGAAAAAAACGTAAATGAAACTCCCATGAACTTGGCCAGGTGATTCAAATGGTCGGTGGCGTCTTGCCGGATCACCTGAACTTGGCGGCCCATCGGGCGCAGCTGACCGAGGGGCGCCTTGGTTTCCCGAACGGTGCTTGGTGATGGCCATCAAGGAATTCCATGAGAAGTTCTATGATATTATGTACCCTCTGGTTATTTAACATAGCCATGGAAAATGGCCCATAGAAATAGATGGTTGAACTATTAAAAATGGGTGGATTTTCCATGGCTATGTTAAATAACCAGAAGGTATAGTATAGTAATCATTATATCTGGTTGGTGGTTTGGAACATGTGTTTCCATATGTTGGGAAGAATCATCCCAACTGACGAACTCATATTTTCAAAGAGGTAGGTATACCACCAACCAGATATGGTAATGGTATTCATTACAGGCATTACAGGTATAATACTTTAGTTTATGTATAATTATAAAGTAATCCGTGGTTCTCAAGAAATAAGAAGTTCTATTGGATTAAAGTCAATGATGTTCATTATAACGGTTGTACTCATACTGATTAAAATGATGACAGTCTATAAGAAATAATACCGTAGGGGTTATAGTGATATATATATATAATGATTACAAATGATTACCAATGTTTTTAGTAAAAATCAACCTTACAATGTTTTTAATTATGTTGTCATGCTGATAATGAGGATGGTGCCTTGGTTGTACACGCGAAAACGCGACTAGGCTGTACATGCGAGAAACGAACTCAGTTGTGCACGCGGATGCTGGTGTTCTTATGATGGTGATGACGGTGATGATGATGATGATGATGGTGATGGTGATGGCCAAATTGCCAAATGATGATGTTGATGATGATGATGGCCTGATGATGATGATGATGATGAGGATGACGATGACGATGATGATGACGATGATGATGATGATGACGATTGATGACAATGATGATGGTGGTGATGATGATGATGATGATGATGCATTCGCGACCCGTTGCGACTGTGTGCTTGTAAGTAAGTAACGCGCATCGGTGGACCGGTATTGACCCTATTGCGTGTTTCGGCTCTTTTTCTTTGGGTTTCCCTACTACTCTCCCCACGCCGTCTCTGTAGTGATGTCCTTGGATTTCAGCTGTGCTGTGTTCTCATGTCAGTCGTTTTGCACTTTTGATATATATATATTATATATAAATAAATATAACGCGACGGTTGATATATTGGTTTTAGATTCCGTGGCGATAGCCTCACGTTAGGTAAGCATAGAGCGGCGCGACCGCGACTAGATTTGTAGCTGTTGAGCGGGCGTTCATTTTCCGGAGTGCTTCACCTACCGTGATGTCCCTGGATTTCAGCTGTGCCGTGTTTTCATGTCAGTTGTTTTGCACTTTTGATATTTATAACGCGACGGTTGATATATTGGTTATAGATACCGTGGCGATAGCATGTGTGTGCACAGGAACATGAACGTTATTACCCCGCCCCACCCCCAACCCACCGGTGACTGATCATGAAAGAGCAGTGCCTGTGTCTGCAGGACAGCAAGAAATATGATGAGGTTGCTGTGCCTGTATGTGCACAGGACCATGAAGGTTATTACCTAGCCCCACCCCACCCCACCCCACCGGTAACTGATCATGAATGAGCAGTGCCTGTGTCTGCAGGACAGCAAGAAAGATAATAAGGTTGCTGTGCCTGTGTGCACAGGAACATGAACGTTATTACCCCACCCCACCCCACCCCACATCAACCCACCGGTAAATGATCATGAAAGAGCAGTGCCTGTGTCTGCAGGACAGCAAGAAATATGATGAGGTTGCTGTGCCTGTATGTGCACAGGACCATGAAGGTTATTACCTAGCCCCCCCCCCCCCCACCCCACCCCACCGGTAACTGATCATGAATGAGCAGTGCCTGTGTCTGCAGGACAGCAAGAAAGATAATAAGGTTGCTGTGCCTGTGTGCACAGGAACATGAACGTTATTACCTCACCCCACCCCACCCCACATCAACCCACCGGTAAATGATCATGAAAGAGCAGAGCCTGTGTCTGCTGGACAGCAAGAAAGATAATGACGTTAACGAGCCCCACCCCATCCCCCGAAGGCTCTGTGTGTACAACCGAGACACTTTTGTGAGCGCAAGTGAGTCAGAATCCTGTGTGCGCAGCTGTGTCAATTTTGTGTGCGCAAGTGAGGCGCCGTCCGATAATGATCGCAATGATTGTAATGACTATGATGATTTATGTCCTCACTGCGACGTCACTGTTACTGGAGTGATGGGAATCGGATTGGGGTAGGAACTATAGCCCAAAACGTCCTTACTTCAGGTGAATGAACTAGTGTTTATTTATGCAGATGAAGAAGCTAGGGGGTTAGAAGGATTCGCAATCGGATTCACCGCAATTTGGGGTTCAGTTGTATTTGGAATATGTTATCATATGTTATGTGTTTCTTTGCATGGTTGTTTGCCCTTCACACATAGATAAAGAAGCATAAAGTCAAACATTAAGATTTACAAGGCTATCATGATAAACATGTTTTTTTTTCGACAGCTTGACGTCTCCCGGATTTCGGATTCCTTAATCAACGGAACAGCACGGCCATTTTCCGTGTGATGACTTGGCCCCGTAATACAGTATATACCATGTTCTGGTTGAAGAAAGGGGCTGGAACTAGACTGGCCATGATGCCTAAATGACCTGAGACCTCACCAAAATGGGTGGGACATACTTCGGTGAAGTTCATCCAGTCATGTCCAGATGGTTTTTTGTTTTCTGCGCAAACAGATTGTGTTAATATTCTTCAACACATGTTTGTTGCAGCCTAAGTCCCATTTTTTCGATTGAAATCTGAGCTGCCGAGCCAGTGGAATGACACAGGTCTAACAAACCCAACATAGCCGATTAGCCACGGCGACCCAGGGACGGAGCCAAAGACCTGAGTTGCTTGACATTCGAATGGTGACTGTGGGAGATCCTCATACTGTTGAGATACCATGAGATATCCTCTTGAAAACTATATTGTTGAGCACAATTGAGATATAGTCTGATATAGTGAGAAAGTTGATGGGATTCTTGATGTTCCTTTGCCTAATGGAAGCTGACAGTCGGCGCACTCAAAGTGAAAGTATCCGGCAGGTTGGTATGCCAAAATGCGAACATTGAATTTGCGTCCCCTCAAGCAGTTTGAAACGTTTGAAACGTTTGAAACTTTCTTTCAATGGAGGGCAAACAAAAAGCAGATTTCTAGTCTGGGATACGCCAAATCTGAGATACTGAGATACTCCAAACAGATTTCTAAGTCTAAAACAAGTTCATTTAGATACTGAGATACTCCAAATTGACTCAATTCTGGGATTCAGGATGCCAAAGACGTGCCAATGATGGGTGTCTACCCCGATCTCCCAGTGTTTGGTGCCGTACAGATACCAAGCACTTTTGAATTCCACGGCAAAAATTCGCCAACGGCCAGTAGGTCATGGGATTCATACATATTTATAATATTTGCATAATAATAATCATAATCATAATCATAGTGATAATACGAGTAATTTATAATAGTAATGACAATAATAGTGATAATAGTAAGAACATATACATGTTGTATGATTATAGTGATACTTACTATATATGTACCAGGCACTTTTTTCAAGGTGCGTCCTGTATCTAGACGGGTGAACTCCTGAGCGTTCGCTGTTCAGGTACGCCTGGCAGTCAGGACTTGTCCATCTTTTGGGACGATTCAGTTCGACCAGGGGAGTATCAAGAAATGTGCCCCAAATGAAGGCTTGGGATGTACAGTTCGCACGTCAGGTTCGTAGCATGGACGTCATCCGCTGATGAAATGAATTAAATCATGATGAATTGTGGAGAGGCACTATATATAGATACTTTCTTATTTTTTCTTTGATGTTTGCTGAGATTAAACATGTCTACCCTGACGCACCGGGTATGCATAGAAATCAAATGTTTGTGAGGAGTAACATACAGTATATCCATTTCTGTTTGAGGATCGGATCTAGGTATAGAACTGGTTGGTGGTTTCAAACATGTTTTATTTTCCGCCCTATTATAGATGATTATCTGGTTGGTGGGTTGGAACATTTTTTAAATGAATAATCATCCCAACTGACTTTCATATTTTCAGAGGGGTAGGTATACCACCAACCAGTTACCCAAATTGATGAATATTTATTGGGATGGGTTGAAACCACCAACCATGGACTGATTTGGAGTGCACGTCTGAAGGACAGCTACTCAACGAACACGAGCGAAACGGATCAGCAGGCTGCCAACAAGGTGCCAAGGGTGGGACAGTAGCCCAGCAGCGATACCCCCCAATGATTCACCTAGTTCCTTTTTTGGGGGGGTTCCGATGATTTTTTTGGGGTACCCCTAGTGATCATCATTTTTTTAAAGAAAAACATCCAGCTGGGGTACCATGGAAAGCTCCTAATATGTTGGTGGAATGATCCAAGCAGAATGGTGATCCCAGCATCCTGCAGTCCTCGAAACCAACCGTTCTGAAATGGAACCACATTGTTTTTTTTACCAATATCAGATCAATATCAGAGGCATCATCGCAAATATCAACAGTCGAAAATGATTTGTATAGATTGTAGCAACCCTCCAAAAGATGAAGAAAAGTAAGATCCCAGCATTTTGCCGTGATACATCAGGTTTCGGCATCTTTTTGTTGGCTGTTACAACGCAAAAAACATCAACGAAGTGGGTATTGTCCAAAGTTGGTACCTATAACCAGCCATCCCATGTGACACTCCGACCAGGCAGAGGCGATGACTCAGCCTGTGCTCGGATCCCTGTGGGATGTGTAGCCGGCGATGTCGCCATGTGTTATCCCAAAATGGGGGCCCTCAAACAATGTGTTATTCCTTCAAAACCACAACTTCATTAATTTCCCCAATCATCCCCAAACATATATATAGATCTTAGTACAATTCACCACAACATCAACATTTAGGATCGGATATGACATGATATGACTATTTTCTGACATCTTTTTTTTGTAGGGTTCTCATATATTCACGGGTACATCCCCATTTATCGATGGCAAACTCTACAAAAACATATTTTGCTGGTTGGTGGTTTGGAACATGACTTTTATTTTTCCATTCAGTTTGGAATTTCATCATCCCAACTTCCGAACTCCATCATTTTCAGAGGGGTAGGGCTCAACCACCAACCAGCTGGGTTTGTTTGAAGCAGGCTACCTGGCTACCCCTAAATTTGATGGTAAAGGACCTCATTTCCCCACTCAACTCGCATCTTTTTCGGGGGCTATGTTTCCATGTGGTCTGGATGGGACCATCCCACTGGTTGATTTTTCGGTGGTGGCAGCCCCATTCAACAAGCACGACATGGTACTAATATACCAAAGCTCGCAACATTTTTCCAGGACAATGTTGGTTGGTGAATTATTAAGGTTGGTTGAATATGATCATTATGAGTGAATGGAGGTTTCCTAAAATGGGGGACTCCTCCATCATCCACAATTAGACCATTTTAGAACCAATGGTTTTTGAGGATTTTTGAGGATACCCGATTTTTAGAAACCTTCCCTTGTTTATCAATTTTTCCTAAAAGGACAATGTTGGTTGAAACCCTCAAAACAACGTTGCCTCGTGATGGCCAACTTTTTTCGAAGGCAGCAGACGGTGGGCGCGGAGCTGATTCCTCTGGTTCCTTCCGTCCAGGAGCTGCGACGATCCAAATGGTGGGCGATCGCCAGATAGGTCGATTGGTAAATGGGAGGGTAATGGTGGGTATATGATAGATGAATGGTGGGCAAATGATACGGTAATGGTTCTTCACTGGCCAGACAAGCCCCCAAGAATGGTGAGAAGCTTAAGGGAACCCCCCGACACACGAATGATTTTGGTGTTTGGATTTTTCGTCGCTTGCCTGCATCACGTATAAATCATATGATTGGGTGGTGTTTGGGGTAACTATATACTAATACATGGATGATCCGGATTAGAGGCATGGTACCAAGATGGTGGTCTTCCACTTACCTGACAGATAGTTAACCCCCTATCGCAAAGGCAACTGGAAGGTTAGAATGTATCTGCCTCCAGAGTTGCCCACTTGGATGTGCGGGCCCCACTTAGTAAGTGGTTTACAATCCACCAGCCATATCATCCCACATATAGAACGGGCTAACGCCCTGGTGCCGCCGACCCCCTTTCTGCGGGGGAGGTGCGGCGCGGGGCGTGAGACTGGAGCTTCCGCCGGGAGGCCGGGGTTTACGTGGCGAAGGACTATTCCCTTGTCCCAAGGGTATCGCATTCGGGCGGATGGAACAGTGGACGACCTTCGTGCAGTGTACTCTGCATTGGCCGCCGTTGCGACAGTGCGGGAGCTGCAGAGCCAGGAGCTTCATGTTGAGCAGCAGGCGGGGTATTGCGAGGCAGTTACGTGTGTGGGTGTGTGTGTTTGTGTTTTGTGTGTGTGTGTTGTGTGTGTGTGTGTGTGTTGTGTGTGTGTGTTGTGTGTGTTGTGTGTGTTGTGTGTGTGTGTGTGTGTTGTCTGTGTGTGTGTGTGTTGTGTGTGTGTGTTGTGTGTGTGTGTTGTGTGTGTGTGGGTGTGTGTGTGTATATATAACGGTAACCGGCATAAGGTAGCACGTGGTCTGTTGATGGATCTGGGAGGGGAGGTGGAGGACGATTCCAAGCATTTCAAACTTATAGCGGTGGAAGTCGTCGCTGGCGGAAGCGAACTCGGGCAGCAGCAGAGCAGGTTGCCCAAGCATCTGCATTCTCCGAAAGGCTGCTGGCAGCCAGGCCTGCAGGAGGAAAGGCGTCGAGATCCTGACGCTTCATCGATCACCTTGCAGAAGCCCACCTAATTGGCGGCCTGTCCGATGTGGTGCATGTCTGGATCAGAAGTTGTTTCTGGATTGACTTGCATGGGTATGTGTCTTGAATATAAATCCATCTTTGCAGCGGCTCAGGATGGGGTTGGTTTATTCCGTAAGGTTCATCTTTGAGTCTGTTTCAGGGGGTTGCATTTTCATGGATATGTAGCGCGCTATGTTTAGTTGTGCCCTTGATCCTGGAAACATGTTCCCTAGGTTCGGAGTCCTGGTGCCAAGAAGCGATCATGCCGACCTGAGGAACAAGAGTAGCCTCTTCGACATTAGCTGCTGCGTCCAAAGCTACGGAGGTGGCTGACGATGGCGATGACGAGCCAGAGCATGCGGACCTGATGTGAGCTGTTTTTTTCCAATTTCAACGACCGCACCTTCGAGGGAAGGTGTGCAGAGCCTCTGTTGTGGCCATTTGTGGCTGCAGTGCGTTGTGCTAGTTTGTTGCAGGTGACCCCAGAGAGGGTTACATAGGGCAAATGCTGAGCGGCAGTGGCTTCAGTGGAAAGTTGCCGGTTGTAGGGGCGCCCCCGATAGTGTGGGAAGGAGGCTGTCAGGGTTAAGAAAGTCAAGTTCTTGGGCAGACATGCGGTTGCCTTTGAAAGCAGGGTTGCTTGAATATTTTCTTTGCCGTGTGGTGTCCAATTGCAGCCTTGGATGTATGTGACATTGCTTTAGGTGGGTTCTGAGTTTGCTCTGTGTGACAGTGCATGAGCATGCATTGATGCTTTTCCGCAGCAAGGGCTGTGGAAGTGACCGAACGACGTGGAAGATTTAGTAGGTCATGCCAAGGTTCGCGAAAGCCTCTGCGAAGGCGGCTGCAGTGGCAGCGCCGGGCGCTCAGCCCAAGTCCTTGGTGGATGTCTTGAACCAAGAACCGATTCCGGTCTCTCCGCAGGATGTGGTGGGGCGTGTGGTTTGGGTCTTTGCTACCCAAGCCCGCTACCCGCAATGCAAATTTGCATTGAGATCGGAAGCCGAGGGCGAATCTGAGCCCATGGAGTGCCTTGTCACATGCAACTCGATTCCTCACAGAGTACCTCAGGTAGACGACGTGCTGATCGTTCGATCTGCAGAAGTGCGACCAGCATTCGAGCGCCCCGGAATTGGCATTGCAGAGCGCTGCATGCTGCCAAACCTGGCGACCAAAGAGCTCAGCCTGAATTTCAATGCCGGCAAACGGAAGCGCAGTGCTGTGGAGCATCTGGGTTGCATGCGAATGTGTGTGTTTCATGTTGTTGGTGGGAAGTTGTACAGTTACAAGCAAAGCAGAAGGTTTTCTTGAGCGATGCTGCAGCTGTCTTCTGAGGTCTACTTTGACAGTCGTGCCAGAGGATCCGAGATTTCCCAAAGCAAGCTTCGACCTTATCAGCCTTTCAGAGGCCCCTGGCGATGCTTCTTTCAGCTGCGCCTTGACGGTGAAAGAGCTCGGGGAGATCAGTGGGGACGATGAGAAGCCAAGGAGGGTCATTCAAGTCATGGATGTGGACAGCGGTGACAATGGGCCACGTTTCTAGGTCCATTTGAGGCTATGTGTTTGTGGGGCTGTGGAGATCTTTTGAAAAAGGAAGCTTTAGCTTCCAAGGCCTATAGCGTTTTTGGGGAAGGCTTTGAAATTGACATGATGCCCCAAAGTCGTCACGGACCGAGGCTATAACGTGACGTTGCACGATGGCCACTGCACTTCAAGTTTGGTCCAGTTGGGGGCATCCCTGGCGGTGCTGGGGCTGGTCCGAGGCGCCGCCGGCTTCAATTGCTATGGTAATATGGCTTGCCTCTTGACCTACAGTCCGGAGGAGGAGTATATAGGGCTGGGTGATGGCTTTCTGGCATTTTTCCGCTGTGCTGCGGGCAGCCGGGTGGGACCAATTGGGTTCAGCTGCTGGGCTACGCCGCAAGCATCGAAGTGTTTTTACCTTGCATGAGGCGCAGCCCTTGCTAGAGTGGATATGGCTTGAGTGGATCTGGGTCGGAGCCGCGACTTTCAATTCGAGCCGTGTGACTAGAAAATGAAGAGCGTGGGGTTGCATGCGCTTGCAGGGACATTCGTCGGGCAGGAGGTGGTTTAGGATGGACTGATGTCATCATGAAGGTGATTTCAGGTCCAGTTCTGATGCATGGCATTGGCCAATGTGCAAGGTCTAGACGGAGAGAGAAACGGAGTGAAAGTTGTTTGGGATGTAGCAGATGCTGTGGCCGGAGTGCCTGGTCGAAGCTGCCGCGGACGGTCTTAGGCGTTTGAAAGCCCGGAAACGGAAAAGGTTCCACACCTGCGGTGGTCCCAGGCGCCGCCCCTGCCTTGGCGAAGGCCGGGGTCGGCGGATATAAGTGGGGATATTCCATTAATTATAACTGAGGGTATGACCCATTTATTAAGCAGGGCCCGCACCCCCAAGCATTCTTGCATTATGACAGCCTGAAGCTCCCTAAACTTGATCATTTGCCACAGGAGAGACATCGATTGAACCGCGGCTCAAAGAAGTCGTCGTTCACATGCTTTCTGTGCGACGCGGTGAGCAAAAACTGCACTTGGAGGTTGGCAGTGATGGGCCTCATTAGTAGTGGATATACATGGAGGTTTCCCAAAATAGGGGTACCCCAAAATCATCCATTTTAGATTGGGATGTTCCATTATAAACCATATTAAACCATCCATTTGGAGTACCCCCATGTATGGAAACGACCACAAACATGGGCTCCATGAAGTTGTCAACCCCAGTCAACTCCGCAGACTGCCCTTCACCCAGCAAGACATGGTTGTGTCACTTTGCCCTGTGCATCCCAGGAATCGTACCGTGGTTCGCAACACGTTCGAAACATTTGAAGACACTTTACAACCCATATACAACATTATACAACCTACACCTTTTGGGGCGTATTATCGGGTGTATTGGGTATATCAATTATTCATAATTATTCTATATTATGATATGGGGATTTTCATTTCTATTCCATTCATATCACTGGCTTACATGATGCTTACTGGCTCAATCCCTCAGTTGCGGCTGGAGCCGATCAGGATATGAGACTAGACTTCCAAAGTTACAAATCTTCGGATCTTTTACCATGTCTTCACCCTATTTCACCCTCACGCCTACAAACTGCCACGCCAGCATGAAACTTCAACATCCTCTCAACAATTCACCTTCAACATCCAACATCAATCTTTCAGCATTTCTTCACCAGTTTTCTCATCTTTTTCCAGGAAAAACCAAGTTCCACCAGGCCCCACGGCACCATGTTACGCCATGGAGCTGCGTCCCCGCAGCCACGGCACGCCGCGACGGGACCCGTTACTCTGGAGCCGGGAACCCTTGGATGCGCGGCCGGCGTCGGATCGGCGGCGCAGGAGAGGTGGAGGTGCCATGGAAGGGAAATGTCAGGGACTTAGCCATGGAAATAGTGGATTTACCCATTAAAAATGGTGATTTTTAGTGGGTAAACATACCAAAAGCTATGGAAAATCTCTAGTTGGTGAACATACAAAAACTGGTTGGTGGTTTGGAACCATGGAATTTTATGACTTTTCATATATTGGGAATAATGATCCCAACTGACTTTCATATTTTTCAGAGGGGTTGAAACCACCAACCAGAAAAGCTATGGAAAATCTCCAGTTTAAATTTAAATAGAACAATCAACTATAAGATGGCCATTTTCAGTAGCGAACTGTTGATCAAAAACCGGAATTTCGCTGTATATACATATATATTATAACCATTAAGAAATAGGAATTTCACCAGCAACAAATAGGATTGAAGCATTAAACAATTTGGTTTTGAATGGAACCAACATGATTCAAGCATGACATGTTTGTTTGAACCATCAACATAAATTGGGATTTGCCCATAAAAAATAAGATTTCAGCAATGAATGATGGATTTGGGTGGTCCCGAATAGCAATTTTCAAAGGGAACATATATTATATACTTCAATATATATACTGTAATTGAAAATGATGATTAAACAACAAAAATTAGGCTTTCCCTGTTCTTCAGTTGTGTGATTCAACCAGCAAAGAAGTCATGAGCCGTTTTTTCATTAGAGGGATCAACATGTTACTCCAGGTTACGTTAAATGTCCATGTGTGGGTGAAAATGAACTCTGCTAATTAAATGTTGATGAGAAAAAATGACAAACCTGATTGTCAAGTTTATTTGTTTTAAGGATTTTAAAGGCATGTGAGCTAAACAAAGTTTCAACTGGAGCCTTGGAACAGTAAATAGTTTACACGTGTGCCTAGAACCAACACCCATCCACGTGTCCAAATGTATTATATAGTGTGGCAAACGCGGTGTCACAAACAGTCCCAAATGACTTATCACAATTGGGTGGTAAAAAAGTAGAACCATCCCCAAATAGAAGGTGTTTGTGGCATTGGGTTTAGCCCATTATCAATCCTAATCAGTCAATGTCAATCAATGAATCAATAAATCAATCAATAAATCAATCAATCTATCTATCTATTTGCCTACCTACCGACCTATCCATCCATTTATCCATCTATCCATCCATCTCTTTATCTGACCTTGTCTTGCTCATTGCATCTCATCTTATTATATATAATTATATACAGGCATCTGACAAAGTCGTACCTGTTTTAGGAAAAAAACGTTGTGCCTTGGGGAAGTGTGTTTCGCAAGAGTCGTGCCTTTAGCAAGAACGCATAGGAACTCTGGAGTTTGGATATGTATATAACCCGTTTTCTTATGAGATCACGTAGCTGATCACTATTAGCATGCAGAATTCCAGGTTGTGGGTATGTTCATCAGTTATAGGTAAGATGGCGTTGAGCTGGTGATTTGATGATTTTGGATGTTCATCCCAGTTATCCTGTTTTCCCCCGAATGCGTAGCGAAGGGTTCCCGTTTATAGTCTGGGGGTGGGGGCTGGACCCTTGTTCGCCTCGAGTGGCTCGTCGCGTCGTCGTCGGGTCGGCGTCGCGTCGTCTTCGGGTCGGCGTCGCGTCGTCGTCGCGTCGTTAATTCCGTGTCTATGGGGGAAGCTGCAAAACCTCTCCTTTTCGAAGGTTTCCAAGAAGGTTGTCATGTCAGTTTGTAGCACAAAGTAGTACTGGGAAGTAGTTTGTGCAAGCTTTGTAGTACAAAGTAGTGCTGTGAAGTAGTTTGTGCAAGCTTTGTAGTACAAAGTAGTACTGGAACGTGCTTTGTGCAAGCTTTGTAGTACAAAGTAGTGCTGTGAAGTAGTTTGTGCAAGCTTTGTAGTACAAAGTAGTACTGGGAAGTGCTTTGTGCAAGCTTTGTAGTAAAAAGTAGTACTGGGAAGTGCTTTGTGCAAGCTTTGTAGTACAAAGTAGTACTGGAACGCGCTTTGTGCAAGCTTTGTAGTACAAAGTAGTGCTGGGAAGTAGTTTGTGCAAGCTTTGTAGTACTAAGTAGTGCTGGGAAGTGCTTTGTGCAAGCTTTGTAGTACAAAGTAGTACTGGGAAGGACTTTGTGCAAGCTTTGTAGTACAAAGTAGTGCTGCGAAGTAGTTTTAGCAAGCTTTGTAGTACAAAGTAGTACTGGGAACGACTTTGTGCAAGCTTTGTAGTAAAAAGTAGTGCTGGGAAGTACTTTGTGCAAGCTTTGTAGTACAAAGTAGTACTGGGAAGTGCTTTGTGCAAGCTTTGTAGTACAAAGTAGTGCTTGAACGTGCTTTGTGCAAGCTTTGTAGTACAAAGTAGTGCTGGGAAGTAGTTCGTGCAAACTTTGTAGTACAAAGTAGTACTGGGAAATGCTTTGTGCAAGCTTTGTAGTACAAAGTAGTGCTGGGAAGTAGTTTTAGCAAGCTTTGTAGTACAAAGTAGTACTGGGAACGACTTTGTGCAAGCTTTGTAGTACAAAGTAGTGCTGTGAAGTAGTTTGTGCAAGCTTTGTAGTACAAAGTAGTGCTGTGAAGTGCTTTGTGCAAGCTTTGTAGTACAAAGTAGTACTGGGAAGTGCTTTGTGCAAGCTTTGTAGTACAAAGTAGTACTGGAACGCGCTTTGTGCAAGCTTTGTAGTACAGAGTAGTACTGGGAAGTGCTTTGTGCAAGCTTTGTAGTACAAAGTAGTACTGGGAAGTAGTTTGTGCAAGTTTTGTAGTACAAAGTAGTACTGGGAAGTGACCCAGAGAATAGAACAAAAATGATGCAGAATCCCAGCGTTGACATGCAGGTTGCACACGAGAATTACATTATAAGAGAGTAGAAAATCAATATTTTCATCAATCGCGATCCATTGTGTTTCATTGGTTTTTCATGTCTAAAATGCATGGTTACACTTTTATTGAGGACAGCGTTCCATGCAGAAAAACATTTAGGCATGACTTAGGCATGACTTCTTGGATACAGCGTTTACAATGGTAAATGCCATTCAAAAACATGCTAGGCATGACTTAGGCGTGACATTGTCGCTTCCCTGTATGTATTATACAAGGGGGGTTCTGGAAACGGGGGGTCCCCAAAACCATTGGTTTCAATACTGAAATGGTGCAATGACTTGAATGATTTGTGGTACTCCCATGACTCAGGAAAACCCCACATACTGAGAATATATACCCTACGTGCGGTGGTGCCCCCAAACGATAGCTGAGTTGGTGAACATAATTCCAATTTCACTATGATTTATAGGTGATATATCTATAGTATTCATGGGCTTTATAAACCAATTTTCCTAACGTTTTGGGGGGCACCACCTTGGTTTTAACCCATTCGAGAACCGTCGAAAAACCCCAGGAAAATGATCGACCATCATCCACCAGGCGCCAGCGTCACCTTGCGAGAGTTGCATGAAGCATTTGCACCGCGGTACGAACGGGTCAGCGCCAACGTCCGGGTTTAATGATGGGTCTAAGGTGGGTATGTGATGGTTATAACAATGATGATGGTGGTGATTTGCTATGGTTGATGTATCTGATTATATTATATATAGAGAATAATATATAATATATATATATATATGGCTATGGATCAATACCTATACATACCATTTTTAGGGGGATGAACATCCATAAATCCCAGCTATTTTGATGTGAACTACAGGGGGATAGTGGTTGATATACCCATCCCCATATATGTATATTAATATAGTCACAGCCATTTGGTTGATATATACCCATGAACTGATAGTAAAAACTATGGCAAACCCAAAGTTCTGATGCCTAAAAGTCGGAAGCCTGGAAATGATGGGAAGAACACGAATAGCATTTCTTCCACATTCTGGAAACACTTTTCGGCATCTTTTCGGAGATTGATATATATATATATAGTTATATATAGATATAGATTAGATAGATAGATAAGATAGATAGATAGATAGATAGATAGATAGATAGATAGATAGATAGATAGATAGATAGATAGATACAGTAGATAGATAGATTAGATTAGATTAGATTAGATTAGATTAGATAGATAAACAGATAGATAAATAGATTTATCTGAATCTAAAGTTCATTGGATTTGTAAACGAACTTCTAACTGGGGGGCGCCACCTTCCATTATCAACAGTTGGGGGGGGATCAAACCAATTTTTGTGCTTTGAAAAACCACCCAAATTGTCGGACTTCATTGGGGGAAAAACCCTGGTGGACGATGTGTAACAGCTCTTGCTGGGGTCTGTTTCAAACCCAGGGATACTGTCCCAGGGATTTCCCAACTGCCAATGTGGTGAACATCAGATGGTTTTACAATCCCAATCGGATTTTGGATTCCTGTCATATGCCAAGATACTTAGCTGACCAGAAGTGGATGACCGTCATTATCTGGTACAACTTGGTGATCTTACTACCTGGGATGATGACTTTGAATGACTACAGCGATAGTTTTTGGGATGGGTTGAAGATGATTTTTTGTTCTATCAAAGGATGTAAAAGGCCAGTTCATTCTTCCATATGCGTTCTAAGGATACAGTAGTATTCCCAGCATGTGATAGTGTTTGTTTTTTTGCCTTAATCAAACGTGGCAATTGAAACTCCTAGATACATGATGTTTTTAATGGGGAAAAAACACGCATGCTATGTTTGATTGCCGGAGGCCAGAGGGTACAAGGTGAGGCCCCAGTTCTGTTTGTTGGTTCAGCTATTAACCAGTTTGTTATATCCCCCATAAACCATAGAATTCACCAAGTGAAGCTATAGACATCCCCCATAATTTTGTGGCGATTTGCCTCATATTTTCCGGATGCTTCTATAGAAAACCTCACAAATTGTAGGACATTTCATCCATGTTCATCCACGTGAATCCATATTTTCCCATGTTTTTTTTACCTACAAGGTGGTGCCCCCCAAACGTGAAAAAAATTGGTTTATAAAGCCCATGAATACTATAGATATATCACCAACAAAAACCCATAGTGAGTTATGGGAGTTATGTGAACCCAACTGAACGCGATTCCGTTCACGGGGGCACCACCGCACGTAGGGTTTTCCCATGGCTTTTCCTATGGTTCACCAGCCTCAGGAGGTTGCTGGAGCTGTGGCCAATGGCGGCCCCTCGGCGTTGGCGAAGCCGAAGCCCTGTCTGTTGACGCAGAAGTGGCTGACGCCGCGCTGGCGACCCATGGGAGAGTCGCGCTCCAAGCAGAGCGGGGTCACGGGGTGTGGACTGGGATAAACCATGATAAAATGGTGAAAATCTAGGATAGTATAGAGATGTGGAAGTATAGAGTTTTGTGAATGGGATTTTGGATGAAACAAATAGGATATAGGGATGTGAATGGGATTATAACCATTGTTTTCATGGTGATTCAAGGGTGATTTCATGGGATATTGATGGGATGTAGTTGAATATGAATGGGATTTATGGGATATCATGATAGGTGCGGTTAGTACAGGGATTTTACAGACTCTTAACGGGATATAAAGCTATAGTTCTTTGCAAGACACAAACATTGACTAGTTCGGGGATATCATCCTTCGGTAGTCAAAAATGGCTTGCTGGAAAATCCCCGAACTAGCCATGGAGTTTTTTCATGGGGGATCTTCCAGCAAGTCATGTTTGATTGCAGGATAAGTTTGAGTTCCCTATTTGGGAGTTAAAAACACATCACCCAAATGTCTTGTTTTGGTGTTACCACCATTGAATACCACCACAAGTAGTTTAAACATGTTTAAAACACTTTAACATGACCCAAAATGCTGGTAAGCACCCCGAAAATTCATGTAGAACATGTAAATCTAAGGGACGTCCCGTTTCTGATCATCATCTGATGCTGGGTGAATCCCCAGTTTTGATCGTCAAATCATATTTGATCCCATACACAAATCTGTACCATTGGAACCAGCAGTTTCAAGACTTGACAGTCATCATCAGTCATCAAAAAGGCATTTTTTGTGGGCATTTGGCTGATAGTTCCCGTGTTCACCAAGTTCCGAAGGCTGAAATCTTCCGTGCCGCAGAGCAAATGGCACATCATCGCGGATGCCGTCCATCACCAGGTCGAGAATCGCCTCACAAAAGCTCTATGGTTCGGGAAAATGGAGATCAACCATCAAGTTTACCCTCTGGTAATTAAACATAGCTATGGAAAATCACCATTTTTAATGGGTAAATCCACTATTTCTATGGCAATTTTCAATAGCTATGTTAGTTTACCAGAGGGTAGGGGGTTTCCCTTATTTTTTTTTCAGACAAACCAGGTGTGTTTGGGTAAACTCAGCGAATGGTGTGAAGATGGAGTGAGTTTTTGAATGTCTTGGCAATTTCTTTTGGAGGACCACTTGATATCAGAGGTTGTTCTTCGGCAGTGAAGTGCAGAGTTCATACCAGGTCCTGAACGTCCACAGCCAGGTTCACTGTTCGCCAAGACATACCCGCAATGGATCCTCAAGTTAATTCTCCCCCATAGGAAAGACAATGATGATATCCCGGAATAAACAAATAAAGCACCATGAATCATCTTCGAATGTTATTTGTTTTATGGTTTTGATATAGTCATATGTACACATACAGTACATAAAGGCATACAGTCTGATACTTATGTGATATATAATAAATGGTTACTAGAGCTACAGTATATATAATATATGATGTATAATTATATACTATAATATAGATTATTACTATGATAATCAGAAAATAATATAATATCTTATAATATAATATAATATAAAATAGAATAGTATAAAATAATATCATATAATATCATATAATATCATATAATATCATATAATATCATATAATATCATATAATATCATATAATATCATATATTATCATATAATATCATATAATATCATATACAGTAATATCATATAATATCATATAATATCATATAATATCATAGAATATCATATAATATCATATAATATCATATAATATCATATAATATCATATAATATCATATAATATCATATATATATAATAATAATAATATAAAATAATATAAAATAATATAAAATAATATAAAATAATATAAAATGATATAAAATAATATCAAATAATATCAAATAATATCATATAATATCATGTAATATCATATAATATCATATAATATCATATAATATCATATAATATCATATAATATCATATATAATAATGTAATATAGTAACATCATAAAAAAAACACACACATATATAGAACAATATCATATATATATATATATAAGAATATCATATATATAATAATATCATATAATATCATATAATATCATATAATATCATATAATATCATATAATATCATTTAATATCATATAATATCATATAATATCATATAATATCATATAATATCAAATAATATCATATAATATCATATATAATAATGTAATATAGTAACATCATATAATATCACACACATATATATAGAACAATATCATATATATATATATAATAATATCATATAATATCATATAATATCATATAATATCATTTAATATCATATAATATCATATAATATCATATAATATCATTTAATATCATATAATATCATATAATATCATATAATATCATATAATATCATATAATATCATATAATATCATATAATATCATATAATATCATATATAATAATGTAATATAGTAACATCATATAATATCACACACATATATAGAACAATATCATATATATATATAGAATAATATCATATATATATAATAATATCCTTTAATATCATATAATATCATATAATATCATATAATATCATATAATATCATATAATATCATATAATATCATATAATATCATATAATATCATATAATATCATATAACATCATATAAATAATGGAATATAATGGAATATAATAACATCATATAATAACATCATATAATAACATCATATAATAACATCATATAATAACATCATATAATAATATCACACACACATATATATATATATATAACAATATCATATATATATAATAATAATATCATATATATATATATATAATAATATCATACAATTTCATGTCTGTTTTACATATGGATACGAGTCATGAGATACTTCCAGTAACGAAGCCGTTGCTTCCCTCGGCTCGATAAGCAGTGCCAGGCAGAGAAGCAGAAGCTTCATCCATCGGTCATCGAGGGAGCACTGAACTTCCTGAGGGCTTTGGTGCTTTGGAAAAGATCAAGAGCTGAAGTCCTGTTTGTCAGTGGGAATTTATGGGAATTTCAGGACCCGAAAATGGATGAACATGGAGGTACTAACTTAGTACAATAAACATGGAGGTACTAACTTAGTACTGACTTAGTGCTAACTTAGTACTAACTTAGTACCATAGAAGGGCTTGTATATAGTGGGGATATCCCTGACGTTTAGCCCTTAGACCCTTTATATGGTAGGTAGCTCGAATTTTTCAGTTGAAATGGCCACTGGATATGATGGGATGACAAACATTTTCCAGGAATCTCATGGCATATGTGGAATGCACATATTTAATTAATATTATGTATATGGCAATATATATATATACATAACAGATCATACATCCAACAGAAAACACTATATATAATATATTGATATTTCATGGCTCTGAAGATTTACTGTATATGCAAAACTCCCAAGTTGATGGTCATAATTCAGATTTTTCGGACAAACCCTGTTAAGGTTTCATTGTTTCACTCTCCTTTAGTTATGTGTTTGCCCTTGTTGGATCTATTTGGGATGACAATGAGGGTGAACTTTCCAGCTGCCAGAAATTCTGTTGTGTCCTTGCAAGGTAACTTCCTTACTCTTCCTTGCTATGGAATCCAGGAAACTCTGGTTATGAACCACCTACAAGGTGGTTCCCCAGTTCGTTAGCTAAGTTGGTGAACATAACTCCAATAAGTTGGGTTCATGGTAGATATAACATGGTATAACATGATATAACATGATATAACATGATATAACATGATATATCATGATATAACTATACTTAATGGGTGTTATAGAGTAACTTATAACTGGGGGGGGCACCACCTTGTACAGCTCCTGGGTTCTGGGGATCACTGATGATTACCGAGGTGAACGACCCCAAATTCCTGAGACAAAGATCTCTACTGCTGCGGCTCCTTCAGCTGGTGGAAAAGGCGGTCTACATTGAGGCCGGGGGGAACTGCGACGCTGCGAAGAAAAATGAACATGGTTCTTGGTTGGAACACATAATATGAGATATATTGAGTACATATGACGTATATATATATATATATATATATCTTTGTTTTTTTTGTTGAGGCAGAACAATACCGCACACGTTGCCTCAAAATCTACGTTTTTGTTGTTTGTTTATTTATTGCCGACTTTTCCGTCTGCACTCAAGGAACATTTTAGGTCGACATTTCCAAGGAAAAAAAATGGGTTGCAACGATCTTTAACCAGGGATCCTGCTGTTCCATTTGACCAGAATCATTCAGGTGATCAAAATTGTAGACCGTAATATGTCCCACCAACAGAAATACCATGGCTTGATCATTTTGTATCAAACCATCCATTTCGAAGGGCTTGATAGTTTTAAAAGTTTTAACCCCCATTCACCTTGGTTGCAGACTTGGGGTAACCCCGGCCCAACCCACAAGGGGTTTTCCAATCTCCCAACGGGCGAGGACAGCAACGCTTCGGAGTATCCCAGCAGTGCTTCGAGGATTCCGTACTTTGTGGGGCATCACTGGTTATCCGCACGTTTCTGGACCGGTTTTCGATGATGCCTATCGGTTTTCGACAGGTCAAAAAAATTGTCTCAATAATCAAAGAACGTATCAAACTGGCAAAAAATCCCCTTTTGAAATTCAAAACCACGTTTTTTGATCCCTTCAACTAATTACATTCCCCCGATCATTTATTATTTCAATAAATATTTTCCATTGCTACGTTCAATAAGATTGTACTTATGTTGGTTGGTTATTGTTTCTTTGTTTTGGCATTTGAAACCTTGATCTTCACCACATTCGACCAGAGTTCGATTTACAGAACGTGAACATGGTGTTTTCATGTTTTCCCAACTGACAAGATCGTTTACCTTAAGCCTTGCAAAGACCCTCAGAAACAGGATGTGAGTGCTAAAAGAAAACGGGTTTTAACCGCACGTTGATTTTGAAGTCAGAAACTGATCCAAACATCTTCCCAAAACGATTGATTGGAAGGTTGTACATCCTAAAGTAGAAACACGACAGTCGAAGTGACAACATGGGGAATCACATTAACTCCCCCCTTGTTTTCCCTTTTTTTTGGTTTTGCCTCCAACTGCACCGAAAATCCCAGGTTTGCAGCACCTGAAGAAGTCCAGCAGTTCCATGAGCGAAGTCATCCGCCGCTGCGAACGCTTCGAGAACATCCGTGTGCAGGCGCCAGGGGCCCGCCGCTGAAAGCGGCGCCAGGGGGTGCATCCAACACGGGGGATATGGAGGTTTCCTGAAATGGGGGTACCCCCAAATCATCCATTTGCAGTATATAGATGGACATGTTCCATTAAAAGAAAAAACATAAAAAACAACATTAAAAAAAACAAAAACAGCTAATCCCTTCCTCCTAATACTAAACGTCCCCCTAATACTAAAAACAGGCATCCATCTCCAATTTCCGAAAATTTCAGTTTGGCCAATTTGACTTTTAATTGATCCCCTTTAAAAAACAATTTAAAAATCAACCTACCATTTGTGGGTTCTCCCCCTAATACTAAAAACTAGTTCACCCCGGGGTGTTTAGTATTAGGGGGGCCTAGTCCCAATCCCTCACTCCAAGCTGCCTAGCTACTCTAGCAATTAGGGGTAAGCTTCTAACTGCCATTTTTGGCAATATTTTAATGGCGTTATATAAGGAAATTTAATTGATTTTGAGATCGTAAAAAATAGTTTTTAGTATTAAGGGTTTTAATTTAGTATTAGGGGTAAGCTTAGAACTGCCATTTTTGGCAATATTTTAATTGCGTTATATAAAGAAATTTAATTGATTTTGAGATCGGAAAAAATAGTTTTTAGTATTAAGGGTTTTAATTTAGTATTAGGGGTAAGCTTCGAACTGCCATTTTGGCAATATTTTAATTGCGTTATATAAGGAAATTTAATTGATTTTGAGATCGGAAAAAATAGTTTTTAGTATTAAGGGTTTTAATTTAGTATTAGGGGTAAGCTTCGAACTGCCATTTTTGGCAATATTTTAATTGCGTTATATAAGGAAATTTAATTAATTAATTAACATGACTTCGATTTGGTTCCCTAATAATAAATACCCCCCTAATACTAAAAACTACCTGCCGTGTTTTGTATTAGGGGGGGGGGTTTAGTATTAGGAGGAAGGGATTATTGGGGTACCACCGTTTATGGAAACGCCCATTCGAAACATGATGATATGAGTGGTGGTTTCAAAGACTTTTTTTTACATATTCAACTGTAGAAATCGAATGATGATCCCAACTCTTTTTTTAAAGATGGGTTGAAACCACCAGTATATGTTAAGTTTGGGTTGTGAAGGGTTCATGAGATCCGTGTTGATCGGAAAAAAGGATGTGATACTGTATCATACTGAAAGGTTGTAGGACTGGCCAATTCAACAAAGGTGCAAATGTCTGTGAATATCTGCATCATTTATAGTGACCTCACAAAGATTTCACCAAAAACGATACTCATTTTTTGTAGAATTATCCCCCCAAAAAGACCTTAAATCTATTGTTTTTGGTGCATGATGAATTGTCCACACATCTACTAAACCTGAAGCCGGGTTTTATTCAGGGACAGTGGTTTTTGCTTCGAGTTCTTCCACGTGTTTGACGGATCTTTGGAGGTCTTTGCTGTGCAATTTGCATTGTCCAAAGTTTTTCTTATCCTGATATTATTTGGATGGATATTTGATCAAATAATATTTGGAAAGAACACTATTCCAATCAGCCAATACCATTGGTGGATTACTTGATATTACTTGGCTGTCATTGAGAAAACCACCCTTTGGGATGCTTAAATCCCATGAAATTTCCCATGAAAGTTCCATGGTTCTATGAGATTCCCCATCAACATCCCATGGAATTTCCCATGAACATCCTATGGAATTTCCCATGAACATCCCATGGAATTTCCCATGAAATCCTATGAATTTCTGGAATTTTCCCATGGGAATTTCCCATTTCCCACGAGATTCCCCATGCCAAAAACCCATGGTGCTCCAGGTCCAAGGCCGCCTGATGGAGCTGGACCAGCGTCGTAAGGCCGGCCCGCGCTTTGCGGCGCCGGTGCCGTTGGCGCACAGCATGAACCAGGTGGGCTGTCCGTGGGCTATCCGTGGTTGGGCCATGGCATCATGGGATCCTTTTTGTGGTGAATGGATGTGAATGGGAGAATAGTGGTTGATCATGGGATTTCAATGGATTTCATGGTGGTTTTAGTGTTTTATCCATGACTCGACCATGAAAAATGGGATTTCATGGTGATTTGTTTAAGGATTTGCTGGGATATAGCCTCTGGTAAACATAGAAAAAAAAACAATAAACTATGGAAAATCACCATGTTGAATGGGTAAATCAACTATTTCTATGGTCATGTTCAATAGCTAACTGTCCAATTACCAGAGGGTAGTTACTAACATGTTTTATGTGTTTAATGATGTTTAATGGGTAAATCAACTAAAAAAACTGTTGAAAATGGCAATTTATGGTTGGATCCATTAGTAATGGTTAATAATGGGAGAATAGTGGTTGATCATGGGATTATTATGGATTAACATACTTCATCCTCTGGTAAACTAACAGCTTGCTATTGGGTAAATTAAATGGTGTTGTCATCCATTAACTATAGTTATAACTAGTTCGTTATAAGTTATAAGTATCATAAACATCCACAAACATCCACAAACATCCATAAACATCCA